TTAAGTCATTGATAATATTATGTAATTATAAATATATATAATATATATTAATAACTTATTAATTTAAATAAAAAAATTTAAATAAATTTTTAAATTTTATAAATAAAAAAATAATTACTAAAAAGTTTTTACTGATTTAATTTGATTTTATATTAATTAAAATATCAGTTAATAAAAAAAATAGTATACATCTATAAAAGCTAAAAATCAATTATTAAAATACAGCGTACCTAATCTTGTAATCCAATTATTATGTCCTATTGTAACGTACACATCTAACCTTAGAATTGGGTTCAAATTTCCTCTCAAAAATTGTAACATATTAAAAAAAAAAAATTATCGAAACACAGTCCATTGATTCCGAAATCTGAAATCACTCTGACAAATCACAAGGACCGATCCACGCAGGGTAGGGCAGTCCGGTGGTTAGTGCTTGGGTGGGCCCTCACTACTTTTTTTTTTTTCGTCCTTCCTAAATTGTTTTAGTACTATGGGTTGGTTTGGGATTGCAAATGGCGTTTTTTTAGTGTATCGTACAGTGCTTTTTTTAAATTATTTTTTGGTTTCTCTCTTGGTATCCGAGGTTTTACCCGGATTAATTTGGATTGATTCGCGTCACGCATCTAAAAGTGATGGGTGAATTTTTCAACGAAGGCTGCTGCATACACAAGATTTCGAACTCAAGATCTTATTTAAGCTGAAACACGCCGTTTACCACTTGATCCAACCCCTCGTTGGTACAGTGCTTTTAGATATAAGAATATTCAATAATTTTTTAAAATTATAAAAAATTATAATAATTTTATATATAAAATTAAAAATTTCATTTTAAAATTTTTTAATTTTGATTTTTATTTATTAAACTTTATTTCATATAATTTAATTATATCATAATTTATAATATTTTAATAATAATAACATATTTAAAAATTTTAAATTATTAAAAAAATAAATATTATTATCTATTTAATAATTATATATTTTTACTATTTTTTAAATTTTAATTAATAATTAATAAATTTTATTATATTTTTTTCATAATACTTTTAACAAATAAACAACTACATACTAAAATAAATTTAAAATATAACTATATCATAATATAATATAATTAAATACAATTACAATTACAACCACAACAATACTAAACGTATCCTATGTAACATTTTCGGCTTTTTCGACTGGCTGGGGGGTCGAATTCAACTGACCATCATCATCGCGATTCAAAAAGGGCCCGCGGGAGTCCCAAGGGGAGGCCCACTTACTTAGACCCAAACCTCTGTGTAGTCTGTACTGCATTCATGCATCCGTGTTATTGGGGTCCACACTCCAAGGCTGTGTGTAATTTTCGAATTCAAAAAAATAAAACTGCAAAAAACCAGTAAATTCACGCCTGGTGGGACTCGAACCCACAATCGTCTGATTAGAAGTCAGACGCCTTATCCATTAGGCCACAGGCGCCCTTTCGCTTTTAAATTTTTTTACTTTTTATCTATATGAAAGAACAGTAAACTTTGCAGGTAATAAAGCTTAAGAATTTACTGTTATTATTTTTTATCTTTTAAATAACATTACTAGAAGTTTTGAGGCGAAGTTAAAAAAAAAAAAAGGAAAAATGTATATCTATATCTATACATAAATACATAACCCTAATGAGATTATTCAACGATTAAAATTTTAAGATTTTAAGTTCAAGATTTAAGTCGAGTGAAAAAAAAAATTTGAGAATAAAAGATGATAATCCATTTTTATATATCTCATAATTAGATATACAAAAAAAAAATCTACACATAAAAACATGCATCAAATTTCATTGGTATCATTTAAATATAAATAATTTCAATAAATAACACCTCCTAGAGAGTGCTTAATTAGTATTTATGAATAAAATAATTTATAAATATTTCTTAGATTAATTGAGAAAAAAAAACTAATTACCCAATAAAAAAATAAAATAAAAAGTCAAGAAACATGATATGATATAATACACTATTCGTAAGAGTTGGCTAATTAAATCAATACAATTGAAGATAAGTGGTTTTCATTATGCTCAAACTCATGGTATAATCCACAACTTAGAATTTGGGAGCATATTATTTTTTTTTTTTGGACCAACACATAGACATACTCTTTATATATTAAATTTTTACTAGGTTTTCACCATCTATCACTTCCTCCTTCAATTATTTAGGATTAGTCTTCAAATGAACAGAAAGGATAATCATGCCTATGAACATTTTTCTTTTTACTTGTAAATATAAGTAAAAAGAAAAATGATTAAATATTTTGTGAAATTAATTAAATATCTTTAACAAAAAGAATTTATGTAAAATTATTTAAATATTTTTAATGAATCAACTCTTAATAAATATTTTTTATGTGTTAATTTATTAATAATATTTTAATTTTTTTATTAGCATTCACGAATAGTTATTTGACAAGACATGTATATTTTTCTTAATCTCATAAAAAAATGTTTTTATTTATAAACAAGTATTTTTCAAATTAGATTATATATTAAAAATATAATATGAGTACTAAATTAAACTATTAAAATACTTTAATTAAAACTCTTTCTTATATATTTTTTTATTTATGATAATTTAATAATTTTAGTGTTTAAATTACACATTAAAGATATGGTGCAAACTGAAAACTTGAAACTGCAATAGTGTCCAGTGTCAACTTTACAATATCCAAAGATTAATTCATATACATTTCAAAATTAGGTTTTAAAGATAGATGTTAAATAGACATTTATTATTTTTTTATTATTTTGTATAAAAAATTTTAAAAATAAATTTTATTTTTAATATTAATGTTATGCGAAATGATTAAATCAATTTTTATTTTT